ATAGCTGTCACGTGCAAATGATCTTTTGTAATGCATCCTTTGTAATCCATGGAAGTAAGACAAAGCCTGCTCAGAGGCTCCCAGCCCAACTTCTGTGTAACCGGGACTGCCGCAAAGTAGTTTGCGATGTTACCAGATTCTCAGAATGGAAAGGGATTTTAATGTCCCACTACGGAGATGGGGAAAGAAACCACAAAAGGAATCTCATTCTCAAATCACAGCAGAAATACACGAGAAAGCAAGCACAAAATTACTAGGAGAATGAGAGAAGTACAAGGTTACCAAGCCAGATGCTGTGAAAAGGGCGTAACATTGAAAGGAAAGATTCTCAAAGCACAGAAAAATCACAGAATGGAGCAAAGCTAAGAGCTAAAAGGCAGAACTGAGAGCTAAGCACGGTGTGAAATGCGGGATCCCACAGAAATTGGGAATGCTAAAAAAAGGCCAGCAGCACTGCAGGAACTGGCTGCACTCCAGAAAAAGAGCAGAAACCAGAGCTACGAATATACAAGAGGAGGGCAGAAGTTGTGAGGTTTGCATGCTGCTCCAAAGTTGCTGGACTCCTCTAGGACTCCTGCTCACTTACACAATTTGCTATGAAGTGTTCTGCCTGGGAATACCTGTCTGGTACACGATGGAAACCTGCACTGGGCAAGTTGCATGGAAAAATGAAACGGAAACAGAGACATAATTAGGACCAACCTGTACACCCAGGGTCATTAAGGTAGAAAGCATGCCATGTTTTTCCATACTCAGCAGTAGATAGGGCTTTTCAAATAGCACTCAAGTGATTTGTCAGTTACCCTGTTTGAAAGCGTCTACAATACCTACATCCACATAATAAATGCTCACTACACATGAATAATCAAGTCTGCTTACCATGTCCAAAGATGAACATCCACAGAGTTCAGTAGAATGGATATTCCTATGCTATACACCTTTAAGACTGTTAGCTAGTTTGGAAATGTAAGAAGAGGCACTACCATGATACAAGTAATTCTTGCCCCATTTTTCTTTCTTACCTAGTACCAACTAAAGAAAATGCTACACAAATCAGAATCGTCAAAGATGCAATGTTAGCTCATCTGTAGCTTCTTTTTTTTATATATATAAATTATATCAACAACAGGAGCCCCAAGACTACAACATCATGTTTGTCATATGACAATTATATAAACCAATTTCAAATGAGGCATGTATGCTTCCTATTTCTGTCCTGTAGCAGAGCAAAAATGATTCTGATATACCTCCAGCAGTGTCTGTTCATTGCAGGGTACACGTAAATTATTTTAAGGGAATAATACATCTCCAAGAACATTTTCATGGATTAAATGTCAGGAATGAAATATTACATTTCAACTTAGTTAGGACCTTAAAGAATGAATATAAAGACAATTATTGAGAGGTCTGAAGAACACAATTGATTTCTTTGCAATTTCAACTCTGAGGCACTTCACACAGTCAAACAAAAAGAATTTCTATTTCAGGTTTTCATTACATAAAATTATGAAGTTGTGTAAAGATGGAACGCTGACCCTACTGTAAGCTCATGAGAGAACCCCAGAATATCTGATTTGAAAGGAAGTTGTGCTTTATTACTTTAAGCACTGAATTTTACACCCAATTATTGTGAAATAGATTGTTATTATGATCCACAGTTCTTTTTGCAGTAGCGTGATGGTCCTGTACAAAGTCAGAAATTAAAAATCAGGAGGAAATAAGAGGGCCAAATTCCAGCAAGAGCCCCATAAAACAGGAAGAAGTTATAAATTTGGACGGTACTCTGCTGCAGGCAAACAACTGCCAACGTTCCAAACCAACATGTGAGGCAACTTACTGCAGAAGTTTAATTAGATGACAAGACTGTACTCAATACAGAGAATATTCTCAAATCGATGCACCACTTCGTTACAATGGGACTCTGATCATGATTATGGCTTTTGAGTACTACTCCAATAACAAAATTATACTGTGTCTAATTTAAATTTCTTACAGAAAAGAAATATAAATCATTGATTGCAAAATATATGCAAAGTTCTCGTAGCACACCGCATTAGAATACCTAAGTTGTTTCTATAAAAGCTTGTGTCAAGTTTTGAGAGCTATTAATGCTGTTTAAGGAAAAACATTTAAGACTGCAAACAGAAAATGGGAAGAATATGGCATCTATGAGTAGCATGTTCCATTTCATGGAAATTAACTGAATGTCACCTGTTTCTACTCATTTGGGACCATTGTCATCAACTTCTGCACTCTCAGAGAATGAAAAATAAAGCAATTTTCAAATAAAATATGGTTTTGTAAACAGATTCCTTCGCATCGTAAACATTTCATTACTAATTAGGCAGAACTTTTTTGTAAAAAGTGCTATAGCTCAAAAGAATCACCACCCTTTTGCATCCTAACAGCTTTAAAAGCTGACAGCTTTCCAAGTACTGCATTGGTGGAGTTCCACAAGGTCTTCTTGGGACTTGTGACCCTGTGAGGGATGGCCGAATGTAACAGCCACAGAACGCCAACAACAGTTAGGGGTCAACTACAGCATCCTTTGCCCTTCTAGCTGGAGCTGACAATTCACCTCGAACTGCCCACTGCTTCTAAAAACTCCAGGCAAGTGGGTCATTTCTTCCAATTGGTTATCCCCAGAGAGAAGTAAGAGATGGGGGAGGAAATGCTGTGGCCCAGAGGCCCCGTGCCGGCGGTTGGATCAATGGCCAGTGTCAGCAGGCTTCCATTTAATGATGCTCAAACCAGCGCCAGCCTCGCTAACGGCCACACACCACTGATACCCACACACAGGAAACAGGGTCCTGGAAAGGCCAAATAATTGCCTCATTTTGCACTATGTGGAATTTTTTTTTTATTTTTAAAGGTATACGCCTTCCATTTTATGTTTATAGGAATAGCCCTTAGGTTTTAAAGAAGAAAACATGTTCACGTTCCCAACAGTGCAATGTGACAGTCGAGGGCAGCGAGTGGCAAGTACCTCCGTGTGACTACAGGTCAACTTACAAACGTTTCCTATAAAGAAGCATGCAGCATTTTGTAAGCCTTGCTAATATGTATATATAAGTGTATATGAAATTATTATTCCATATCTATGGAACAATTTTATAATAATTTAAAGTGAGACACATTTGGCAAGCAAAACCAAAACCCATCAAAAAATAACAACGAATGAAAAAAACCACACCACAGAATAAAAAGCAAAAACAAGACAGGGCAACCCTTGTCCTATTTCTGCGATTATACAAGAACCGAGTTGTCAAAGTCATCTCCATATCCATGTAAGCTCTGGAGTGGAACAACTAAATTACAGAAACAAGATGACTGTACAGAGTTCTTCAAATTACTGACTAGCTATTATTTTTGGATATTCCATGCAAACTACCTACAAACACTCTGCCACCTGAGGCAGGATGATTCAGCCAGACCGTGATTTAACCCCCAAACACACCGTACAGTTCTCTCAGCTAAAGAAGGGACAAGCAGCCTTTCCTTTGAGTACAGCCTAGTCCGTGCTGCAGCTGGAGACCCCGTATGTCCAAAGCCTATCACAGAGGCCACAGCATTAAAACCACTCTCCACAATAATAATGTTTTAAGACCCCTTCCTTCCCTGCAAACTCTAAAAATTTTTAAAGTGGTCCCCAGAAAGCTACCTTATGTCTGTCTAGCAGAGCTTCTGCCTTGGAAGAATTCCCTTCCAGCTACAATTGAAGCATTACAGCTGGTCAGACAGGGCTCAAGAACAAGTCCTTCTTTGGGGGGTTGAAATCAGTGCAGTTGGCTCTTCCTATGCTTCTGAAAACAAACTTTGAGTTCCTCCTATCCAGTGAGCAAAAATATAGCAGGAAGAATTTTAGTACTAACAGATCACAGTATGGAGAAATCATACTCTAAAATAACTATCTGCTTTAGAATAAGCAACAAAAATCATCCGCACGTTGAAGCCTGCAAAGTTAAATTACCTTGTAAGATACTCTTCCACAAGAGCAAAAGCTTTGAATCATTTGCAAATCCTGCTTTATTTTTTAAACTTTTGAATTATATTAAGCCATTACGAATGAATGAAAGTCAGAAGAAATGCTACCATGCTGGGCTTGATGTCCATCAAGAGATGTGTGTTCACACAGTACCTCTAACGTCCCCGTTTCCCAGTGTCCCAGGCTCTGACCTACACGGCTGGTGCTGGCAAGAGGAGGGAGCAGCATGTGCAGCTCCACCCCGTGCCAGGACCTGCTTGGAAGTGAAGGCTACAGGAGCCACACTCGGCCACCACGTCCCCCACCGCCTGCGCTGCACTAATGCAGAGTGAGGCAGACAAAGGACCCCCAGCTGCCAGACAGCCCGGGCAGCTGCACAGCCCACCAGCAGCTCCAGGGAAACACATGCCTTGGAAAAGCTCCGCTACAAAAATGATACGCAGCCACCACCACCCTGCCAGATCAGTAACCCTTAAATGATATTTTATGAGATCCAAGAAATTATTCTTGGTTTAAAGGAAATTGTCTCATAAGACTGAATTTCTGTCAAATTTGCAACTGAATCTATTTGTCACGTTATTTGCTTCCAAAAAGTTTGCGGTCAGAAGCTTCCGATTTTGAGTTCTCATTTAACACATGGGAAAATTTACCAAAACCAACTACTGCTCTGAAAACTACACACACAAACCCCCTCGCGTCACTTTCCTCCTCAAATCTCAGTTTTGATATATCTCTCTAGGCAAGTTTCCATCAGCACACGCAAGTTTAAGTGCAGAGTTCCCATAACCACCAGTTATTCTGATGCACGTTCACTTCTCTCCCATCCCATCCCCGGTGGTAAGCTACCTTCCTCGAGGGAGGCTCCAGAAGACAGAAATGCAAAGTTATGTTCAGGATCCTGACTTCCCCACTTCACCAAGGCAGGCAGAACTGTGGTTCTGCCAGGAAACATCTAGGAGATTTAAAAGGTAACAATTGAGAACATCCAGGCCATAAACACCACAGAACTTTTAAATCGAGTTTAACTGCCAAAGATTTTATTTTACACTCAAGGAGTAAATTAATATAGTGGACACGTCATACAGGATACAGAAGAACCACATGAACATATTTATTCACTTGCAACAACGGTTTCAGAAAATTAAACATCCTAAGTTGGCTGCTTGTTTCACCATTTGACTTACCTTTTCTGCAACGCAAAACGCACTTGAGGAGCGGCAAGAGAACAAACAACGGCCATTATTTCTAATTTCAGAGTTTCTAACTGAACACAAGGAAAAGAAGGTTTACAGTGAAGCCGCTACAGTGAGCGGGCTGCCCAGAGAAGCTGCATAATCTCTATCCCCAGAGGTTGTCAGGATCCAACTGGCTGAAGCCCCGAGCCCTGGTCTGAATTCTGCACTGACTCTGCTCTCAGCAGGAGGTTGGGCTAGAGACCTCTCCCAAGGCTTCCAACCTGAACAATTCTACAATTTGATCCAAGCACAATCAGCAGCCAAATTCAAACAAATCAATAAACACTTCCCTTCTTTCCCTCTCCCAACAAAATCTTACCAGAAAATGCAATACTCATCCGTAATGATCACCTTTAGAACAATCAGCATGACTGAAATTAAAGAAACAACCAGCAAATGAAGAGTACAGAAGAGTTCCATCACTGCACATTAAAAGGCAAACTAACAGCCTTTGCATGATTTAAAATTCTCTTTGTAACAGCAAACACAGTTTTAATGCCAAACGTGTAAAGAGCAATAAGCTGCTGTATAACAATACCAAAGATCTTCCTAGTCATTTTTAAAAATTCACACTGAGAAAGGACACACCAGGAACATAAGCGGGATAGCATCAACATTTTAGTTTCCACATTTCTACCAGCCCTTGATACTCTGGCAGTGCCGTGCCACCAGCAAGTGCTCCAGGAACACCACAGAATGAGGAGCTGGGAAGTGGAGAGTAGGCAGGGAACCCCAGAACATCTCTGCTCTATCCCAGGGAACATTTCTGTTGTTGGGATTTAAAGCACAACTATCAGGAAGGACTCAAAGCACCTAATTTCTTAATTTATTTTTATTTCCATATGAACAGAAGATTTCTATTAGACAAAAGGTACAAGGCCTCCACCCATCATTAAGGCAGTTGCAGAAGAACAAATTAACTAATGGCACGACATGGTACAAACTGGCAACAAATAACAAACACAAAACCTGAAAAATACTGTAAAAGTCTTTGTTTTGTGCCAAAAGAAACTGATCCTCTGCAATAAAAGAATTACTCTGGTGCAAATAAACAGTGATTAAACATGTGTATATCCACACACACCAAACAATCTCACATCCAGCTCTACATCCCCCAGTCCCGAACCCCCAAACTTCTCAGTTTTATGAAGAATTTTCCTTCTCAATCTCAACATATATGTGAGGATAATCATGAGCAGTCAAAAATCAGATCATCTGATCAACACTGAACCTCTGCACAATGAAGTCTTCCAAATCTGAATACCTGCTAAAACTGGGAAGAAACCATGCCACAGAAAACCATGCCGTCCACCATGAAGGCTGATCTGATTTGGCTTTAAATTATGGTAACGTGGATAGAGTAGGACAGTACAGAGCTCAGTTCTAGACCTACAGGACAAATAGATGCTTAGCTGTTGATAAGAACTCTTAGTATTCCTGCAAGTATACCAGCTGTCTCATTTGCAGCTGGCTCAACTGCACTACACTACCCTACAGTGTGAAATAGCAAATATTCATTTAGGCAAGATACAGAAGGCAGCAAGTAAGAGAAGCCAGTGCAAGAGCAGGACAGTAACAAAACAGACAGTTGTGCCCAACACTCTGGATCCAGCCAGTGAAGCTCCTAAGCACATTCTTATTTCAAGCAATAGTAAAATCAAGTTGCTACAACAGAAAACAACTGTTAGCTGTATGTGCAGAAAAGAGACAAGACAAAGTTACATACAAATTTTTTTGCCCTTAATTTCTTTGTGTATTTACTGTATCTGAAGCGGTAAAAAATGAAATCAAGACCCAAATTCACAGACTTTTGAAGTACTTGGGGGAATACAATCTACTCTAGCTCTATAGTCCTGAAATAAGACCAAATCTGCGGGACTCAAGTGTCTTAAAAGAAACCAAAACAAATAGTAATTTGGTGGAATTCCTTCTCCAGCACATGAAACAGCTAAAGCCCAAAGCCAGTAGTTTAGTCCTGTCAATTTTGGTACTTTGAAGGGAGAAAAGAAGTCAAAATGACACAGAGGTTAAAACAGTGAAGATAAAAGATAAGAAAGAACACAGATAGTGAAGAGGGCTGGAATCTGCTAGTACTAACTTTGAGACATTTGATGCACAGGCATGGGAGAAGTGTCAGAGATAGAAAGGTTGTGGCCCTGGAAAATAGTCAAGTAAAGTTGTCAGAGATGTTAGAAAATAGGAATAAAAATTAGATCTTTGAATCTGAACAGGTCTGAGACTTCAGCTGGATACTCAAGGAATCATCTGGAGAGAGAACTATGGGAGAACCAGTCTGGAGAAGGAAGCACTGGATTTTTCAGGCATTCAAATTAAAGTGTAAAGCCAAAAAAATTGAAAGTCAATTGGAGGGAGGATGTTCAGGTACATGAAATTAGGGGATGACAATGGAAAATAAAGGGCAAAGTATTAAAAAAGAGAACCAGTTAGGATGACAGCTGCTATCCCCTTCAAGACAACAGGAAAGAGAAGCTTGGTTGCTAGTGAAGAAAATAAGAAGGGGAATAAAAGAGGAAGAAATCATTCAATGAAAGGAGAGAGACATAAAAGGGGCAAACTTATATAGTTATGAGGCAGCAAAGTCTAATTCAGAAACCAATCCTGAGGTGCAGAACAATTTTGAAAAAGATCTCATCATGCAAAATCAGGATTGGTTTTGAAGACACATTTTGTATCAAGATTGAATGGAGAACTAAAACTAACAGCAAATCTGCAAGCAAGCTCAATAAGAAAAAAAGAAAAGGGGGGATAAAAGTGATTAAAAAGTCCATTTGAAAGGAGAATTAAAAGAGGTAAGGCAGAGTTAAGTCCAAACCTGTGTTGTGCTGACACCCTCTTCAGAGACATTTGGAAAGGTGGGAACGGAAATTAAGAAATTACAAGAAAAATGTCTGGGGAGAGAAATGGAGACAGGGCAATGTGAGAAGCAACCAAAGAAACCACGTATAGAGAAGCAGATAGAAATGAAAATAAAGACCAGTGAGTCAAAGGAAGCGAGGCCACTGAAGGAAGGAGGCAGTTGAGAAGAGTAAAGGAGTCAGAAAGGTTAATAGACCGGAGATCCCAAAAGGAGTGAGTGACAGGGTAGAGGAGAGAGACAGACAGATACGCTGAAAGAGAGCAGGTAGTGATCAGAGGAAGGGAATTTAGAAATGAGAGATAATAAAGTGAACAGTATTTAGTAAAGACAAGGTCATGGGAATGATTGAGGCAGTGAGAAAATCTGCCTAAAACTAGGAATCAAAGGCATCGCTCTGGAAAAACAGTTAAGAACAATGGAGTTAAGTGCTTACCAGAGGAAAAAAATAGGACTTGCCCATGGTAAGGGTTAAAATTTGAGACGACAGAAATGGGCTGAGTTTAGCAAGGTTACAAAGAAAGAAGTAAACTAATGGCCACTACAAAAACTAGACACAGAGGACTAAAAATCAGGAAAAGGGCAGAGAAGACAATGGGACAGATGAAGCAGAAGCAGTGGAAGACAGGAATCGTAGGACTTCAGACGTGAATATGAAAGGAAAACAGTTTTTTAAAAGCATCAACTGAATAACAAGGTTCAAGTAAGAGAATAAAGTTTGGAAAAGAACCTTAAAAATCTAATATTTGAGTCACGTTTGGAAAGTATCACCCTGCTGGGTTATGTCCAGTGCCTGTACTTCCTTCCTTGGGTGATCTTGGCGGAAAGGTTTAATTATTCACCCAAACCAAACCAGAGATCAGAAATTCAAAAGACCAGCACTGCCACTGGCTAGATGATGCGGGGACATAGCAGGGTTGCAAAAACTTCTGACTGTCAAAGAAGTATTAAAAGTGATGGATTTGAACTCTGCTATCCAGCACCTTTACGTCCCGATTAAACTAACTCTCCACAAAGCAAGACTTAAAGGCCTTCGTTGACTCTCCCTCACATCAACCTCCTGTTCCTAAGAAAGCTCAAATACCTGACACAGCACTCTCCACCAGCATTCAAATTCAGCCATTAAGATTCTCATCTCACTGTGTTAACAGTGAAATCAGAGATTAAGTGGACAGATCGTTGAAAACAGACATCACTGTGATTCTGGGTCCCGTTCAGAGATATCTGAGAACCACTGGCATAAGAAGTCCTTCCCCATTTCCAAGCCTCTGTCAAGAATTTCAGTCTATGGCTTTCTTAATCATGAGCATGAATAAAACACCAGCCTTCTCAGACACTTCTAATAGTGCATTTCATCTTCCGGTATATTGGCATGTTTTTAAAGTTTCTGTTCATTACAAAAAGCCACCATACTTGGCCTGCTCGTACAATTGGTAGCTGGATCATTAGAGTGCAACAGAAGAGGGGGAAAAAACACATTATTCCCTGCTACAAAACTAGTGACATACAGAAGGTATAAAAAGCGAGCCAAGTACATAATTTCTATATACCTTACTGATTACTATTTACTCATGTATGTATATGAACTTCACTCAAAATTATTGAAATTACATAAAAACCAGCCTACCTATAAACAAGAGCTCACAGGACTGGGGTCATAACAGGGAGGTCTTCTTATGCCTTTCAGACATTTTCACACAGTTTGAAAATAATGTTATATTTGTTTTAAATTTTAGATAAAAACGCTCTTTTGGGTTATTCATGAATATATCTGATGTAGCATTTTTAGATAAATTTTTGACAAATAATACAAAAAAAGATTTTTTGAATATACTGTCTTTTGTTACAGTCAAGAAAACGCATGCATTATCATCTACTGGAAGCAGTAAACAGTCCACAAGATAGGTAGCATCTACTGTAACATATATATATCTGTAACAAAAAAGTTTGAGAAAAATATATAAACACTATAGTTTTTACATTGTATTCAATATCTGCATGTTTTATTTCTATTAGATTACTGCACAGCAGGGGAGCTTTCAGGACAAGACAAAGATTTTTATGCAATGTCATTCAAAGCACAAAGTTTACTCGTGAAGCAAGTTAATACTTTAGCATTACTGAAATAAAAGGAGGAACTAGTCAGACATTTTGGTTAAAAATGTAACACGTTCTTTTTAAAGAAAATAAACATGTAATGCCTTAGCTTAAAATAAATAGTGCCAAATGTCACCATCAACGACATACGAAAACTAGAACGGTGTTTTATAAAAGAAAATATTTTATAAGCGTGTAGCACACATGGGAGTGTCGTAACAGACTTACTATTTTTACGTTACCAGGTGCTTTACTTAGGGGATAGATTCAACAATCCCCAGTTACATAAACAATTCTATTAACCCATATAGGCTCCTTAATAATTAAGTTTGGTACCAGAGTCATCTGTACCATTCATTTTACAAATTTTAAAATAAGAACAGCTTTTTCTTTTCCTCAGCACAAGATTTAATCATAAATACGAAACACAACAATAAAAAGAATTAAATGCTTAAGTATGCACATTTGCTAACTGCTACATGATTTCTTTACTTAATATATACTACCAGACAGGATGATAAACAAAAAACAATCTATTGTTGGTTTCTTTCAGGAAAAGTTCAATACTTGATGCATAATATTAAATGCAAATTACCTGTGTTGAGTTTTTTTTAATGATTTCTAAATGTTCTAGTATATTTCAGAAAAAAATAAAAACCTGGTTTGACTACTTGTGCATTTTAAGAGCTAATCCTGGCAGTCAAGCACATATTGTGCTGCCTTTTCCAATATAAACCATTTCGTTCTATGGCATATGAACTACTGCTATAGAATATAACCATCATTTTTAAAATTCAATAATCAGATAATAAATGAAAACAAACAGAGGTTGTTAGACACAAACCAAGGTTTCTCAAATACTTCTTCCCTACAAATTGTTTCACTGAAATCCTACAAGATAAAGTATACACAGAAGCTAGAAGGAAAACTAAGGATTCATCCTACAAAATCTGGGAACAAAAATGAAAAAAAAAATGTATTAAGATAAGCTGATGATCTGACACATACTATTTAAAAACTCCTGTATTTTGCCAAACACAATTTCCATAGTATTGGTAGTTTTAAAAAATACAAAATAAGAAACCCCCCCAATCTAGCTTGAGCATTTCATTCACAAACTCCACAGCTGGATTTTTATTCTTTGAGCATTGTACCAAACCAAAAATTGAAGCTGCATAGAGAAACAAACAAACAAAAAAAAATCTGAGTGTGCAGGGAACTGGCTGCATCTACAACCTACATGTGTATGTACACAGTGCTGCTTTTATTTAAAGTAACTTCTTTTTACTCACATAAGGAAAAAGATTTAACTGACCATAACAGCTTCGTAACAGTTTCATTGGTAAAAATTATGTTTTGACAGTTCTGAATAAAAAGTTCAGTCTTGAAACTCAGAAACTGAAAGAAATTTCAGTCCATCCTCCATTTTTACCACATTTAAAAACAAGACACCTTCCTTAACAATAAAAATATTATTTAAGCATACCTGAAAAGTTACTAAGGTCTAAAAAAATATTCTGAATTTCCTTTTCAGCTAATAAAGTATTTGTAAGACATTTTGCATGTATATTTATTTCCCAAATGAAGAAGTGGCACCTTTCTCTTCAATATAAAATCTAAAATTTACTTTTGCTAAATATAAAACTAATTCTCAGAATACAGCATACAAAATGAGATATCCATGAATAACACATTTTGTGTTATACTACACTGTTATATCTTTTCCAAAAAGTTTCTGTATTTAAAAAAGAAAAATTTAAATACACTGTAAGGTTATTCAAATTATTTTAAACACAAAAATCTACAAACAGTGGCATATACATAAACAGTTGGGAAGTTGTAACTTAAAGATCACGTCTTTTAATCTGACCTTCTCATAAACACTAGCCTCAAAAGAACCCTATTTGCTACAAGAAGCATCTGCATGGTTTTAAGACTTAACTATGCAGACTCCTATTGCCCCAGGGCAGTGCTGCACAAGTCTATTGAAAATGATCAGATCGCAGAATCAACACCTTAAATTTTCCCAGAAAACCTCCAACAAATGTTTTATGCGCATTATGACAGAATATGAAAAGAAAAAAGGATGTTACAAAAATTTCAGCGTGATAATTTTTCCATCATGTTTGGCAAGCAGAGAACTAACCCGATCACCTGTCTACTCTGAATGCTGAGAGCTGCAAACTACAATTTAATATAAAATACAATAACCTTCTATAATAATTATGTCCCTCTTAGAACAAAGATTAAAATAAAGTTAACTGTGCTGATTCATACTTTCCATAAATTACTAAAAAGGTGAGAGATTCAGACATTTTGCTTCTGGATAATAAGCCTAATATCTGTATCATGTGCAAAAGTGCAACTGTGGTTTAGAACTGAGGCCCAACCCAACACGATTTTGTTATTAAAGAAAATCTACTTGAACCCACTTAACATGGAAAACGGTGGTTCTTGGTATCTTTTAAAGTTATGCTTTACATACTTGAACCTGTTGTAAAACTGCAAGTTAGTAAAAAATACAAAAAAATAGAAACAAACAGAAAACAAAAAAGCTCGTATATAAATTGGTTTACAATTCAAAGCACAACAGTAAGCTTCAAACAATTACATATCAGTAACACACAAACAAAGAGGTGGGATGATTTTCTTAAAATACTTGGTTATTTCTGCTTTCTTCTTCACGATCAGAGGGCTGTTCAGCTGCTGGCAGTGTGTGCGTGCATACGTTTCGCCACATCGTAGACGTAGGTCACGTCTGGTCGCTTCTCTGGATCTGGGTTGATGCACATATTAACTAATTGTCGCAGCTAGGAAAGGAAAATATACATGTAAGAAAGCCAACGACTCTGTCAGTTAGTATCAGTACATTATCAAATTCAAATTAGTAAGCACGGCAAAAAATAAGCCAAAATAGCAGCTCTGCATAAACACACACACTCTGCCCTCCATCTCTTGACACAGACTGCAGGCAGTTTTCTGCAAGCAGGTATGCAAGGACTTACATTTTTGTACTGTTGTCCAGAAAAACAGATGAACAGATTTCAGTTCTAATCCTTTTAACGTACAATTTTAGACATGCATTTAGTCTCATTATACATCATTTAAATGAAAATTCCTCTGCTTTTGGAGGGCTATGCCTGCAAACTGCAGAAAGCTGAAACTCACCCTGAGCAGGTAAATTGGGACTGCCTGCTCCTTCTCTCCCAATACAGGGGTTAGCCAGCAATAAACGGCACTGCTGTGTGACAGGTTCCAACAAACAAAAGGCAGTGACTCTCCTCAGAGCACTGCTAATCTGCAGAACCTCCTCGAGCTAGAGGGTACCGGTACACACACATTCAAGAAAGGAACTAACAAATTAAACTCACTGAGGGCTATTTAATATAGAGTCCACCTTTGACTGAGGAAATCCCTGAACTTAAAACTGGAAGCTGGGAAAGTATTTTGGGGAAGTATCACATGCTGGCCCTGTTACTCCACTTGCCCAATGTTGGAGATGTGATTCTGACCAAAGTAACCTTTGGTCAATGTCCCAATATCTATTCTTAGGATTAGATCACTGAGTTTTTTCTTTATAGAGAGAAGCACATAATTTACAAATATGTTCATGTAAGCCTCTGTCTGGGAATAAACAAACTGCTATGATTAGAAAAGCCCATGTTTCCACAGGCATCATAATTTATCGGGCCTTCATAGTGCACATATTCAGCAGAAGCAATGCCAAAGAGCTTCTACACCACTTGGATGCTTCTCATTGCCTCCACAAACTGGTGGAACAGTGCAGGTTTTTCTTCCTCTGTTGATATGCTTAAGAATTTATGACATTAGAACTTAATACATTGTCTGGATAACCCTCTGATGGGACATCTACTTTGACTTGTGTGCATCTCCTAAGCATTTTGCAACATGGTGACTCATTAAAATGTTTACCATCCTTTACAAAAGCAACTTAACCAACTCTGAAGCTCTTCCTTTATGCTTTTTACTAGCTTTGCCAAATCCTCATGGATGTCCTAATAGCATGGGGGGGACACAACAAACAAAAAAAACCACCTTGCCATCCACCTTTCCATGGCAATATGTCAAATTTGTTTCAGGTTCAGTCTGCCTCCCAGTACTATTAGGTATGATTATTAAAAAAATTGCAACTAACACAGAGCAGCCTCATCACCATGATTATTCAAAAGTAACATAGATTGCATATTCAAATCTGCCATCAGAGAGTTTCTTTCCTGCTTTTATAAGACGACCAAGAAGGATTTTAAATTATAATTATAATCCTTTCACTTTTTAGAAGAGTAAGTGAAATGCAAGGGAATAAGAAGTTAAATAAGAAATATTACATACCACTATTTAAAACTTTGTCTGTTAGCCCTTGCAGAATACACTGTAAATTGTATACAATATACAGGTTTCCCATATTCAACAATACAAAAGCTATGTCACTAGACATCCCTTTCTTTAGCAAGAATAGCTTAATATTTAAAAATGAGATCATTAATTCTGAAGATAGTGGTCAGATTGCTGGATTAAAACAGAACATTAAATCAAAATAATCTGTAACAGACTTGCTATTTGAATCTTAAATATGCTAAATGTATCTTGAGTAATGGAGTTATAAAAGACATCATATTGCTTCTGGCAGCCAATAAATAAAATACAATACCACTGACAGGAAAAACTATTAGCCTGTAATAATCCCCAATCGTTTGGGGAATAGAATGCTGGAAATCATGAAGTACTGTAAGAAATAATAATTGCCAACATGTAATACAAATATGCAAAGCAAAACAATCTCCTGTAGAAGAAGCAGGTGGGACACAGTATAAGCAACAGGCACAATGTACTAGTGGAGGTGAGCAGCTTGCTGTGCAGCGCCTCTGACAGCCTGCACAGAATACAGGTAAGACTGAAGAACATCCAAAAACCCCAAGCCTGAAATCAGACTCAAACAGGCAAACATTCTATAAAGAGAACACAAGTGTAATTTATCTGGAGAATATGACATCAAATCTTGTATGTATACATTTATCTTTCTCTGTGAAAACTTCCATCTGTTCAATAGAACTGCATACAGTAAATAAAGTCTTAGTAAAAGAACTCAAAGGATTGAAATTGCTAAAGTTATCATCAGAGGGGAAACAGAATATTCTTTCCCCTCTTTTTACCAGGTGCATATCAGTAACTTCATTGTAGGTTACTCCAGCAGAAGTAGACCTTCAAGAAATTTACCTGTGAAAAGCATAAGCAGCCTTGTTTACCTCCAGCAGGCTATTTCATGTCTTGTCAATCCTGGCCTGTGGGTAACTCTGACTTCGTTGTCTAAACTGCACTTTGTCATCTTAAAATCAATTATCAAACTTTTTGCTAAGTCATTAAACAGGAAGCCTGTCTTGAGAGTTATTTTGTTACTTGCTACAGTATATTAGGATTCAAAGCTTCAATAACGTGGCCAAGAAGACTCAATGCTTAGAAAGAGACTGTAGAAAAATGGCATCATTACTCAAAAGTACACGTAAGGCTTTAGGTTCTATTAATCCTGTAAGTACACTTGCAAAATCCATTCACACACACAGTGTCTTGACTGGTGGATTTTTGCAGCTTCTGATTTTTCACTCTAACCAAAATGTGTATGTAGCTACTATTGTTAGGATGCAAGAAAGGATCTACAAGAATATCTTCATCGTAAGGGACGGGCACTGAATCAGTTTACTCAAAAATTCTCTTCCCAACATAGTGCAAGAGGTGAGGTCAATTAGTGAGAAACCTTAACTATTACTGTTAACAAAATAAACCACAGAGTCATAGATCTCTTCTGGCTATGAGTCATACCACTGATATGTTGGTCACTGCTATTAGTGCAAAACTTCCCTCCCCAATCCAGAATCTCTGCTGTATGGCAGGAATGCTGAGCTGACTATGCTTGGGACACTGCACAATGATGTACAGACTCCTGAGTCATTTCAAAATCCTTGACCTCTTTATAAGCCTTGCTACTGAAGAGCAAACTTTTGAGAGAAAATGGATTAATTTTGCTATATGGAATGAAAACAGTTACATAGGAAGATAGCCTTTCAGGACTGGAACTGGGACCATGTTGGATGCTAATACTTGATTATAGCACTATTCCTTTAACTCCTACAGGAATATCCATTTCAACAAACCCAAAATCCATTTGTCAACCCCTTTAGTATTAGTAAAATTTCTGATGTAGCAGAAGAGCCTGACAGTACCATGGGTAGAAGCACTGGGATTCTAAAGTCAGGCTCTCAAAAAAAAAAAAAAAATTGCTCTACTTCTAATATCTGGCACAGACTGGCCAACAGGCAGAGAAGATTTAGGACTGAGCTGGAGGGACCTCCTGTTGAATCCCCAAGCTGTAAACTTCTTCAGCTGCTTATTGTTCTTAACCTCCTCTGTGCACTTAGCACAATGACTGTCTTTAGCCTGGAGCTTAGCCTGACACTGGAGCAGTGGGACACACTTTCTTTAACTTTAGCAGGTTTTTCAGCTATGAAATAAATAATTATCACTCAAGTCAGGAGGAGGGGGGAGGAAGACAGAACTATGACAGGCGAGTACTTGGCATTGTTAACCAGAGAGACCAAGAGAGAAATTTTCATATAGGAAAATGTGGATGGGAAAGAAAACCCACAAACACTTCTTAGTCTGAATAGCAGACCTTCTTTAAGTCCTTCTTCAGTGTTGTTCTCAAGCCCTTCTGCTGGCAATTAACACCACCATTCTACACCTGCACATCTGGGTAGGAAGTGGCTATGGACTTCAGAAGTAGTACACCTCAATCAAAGGGGAAGATTGAAAAGCTTCATCTGTCATGAAAGCAACATGATACTAATATTGGCTGTCAGGATTTTAAGAGTGCTGACTGGGGGTTGCAAGGGAGTCCTAGCTTTGAATTCCCTAAAGCAAAACAGCTTTCAGTAAATGCTGAGTACTCAGCCTGAATAACAGAAGTTCTTCAGGAATATTCAAAAAACGAGATATCCAAAGTTGTTAAACATTGGAAAATCTTGGCTTATGACTCTACTGTTGAAGCAATGGTTTGTGAAAATGCATCTTAGACTATTTGGAATTCTAATTGAAGGTTTTAAAAAAATTATCCATCTGTCCATGTATCTTAAGGTACATCTTTCTGTCACACTATTTTCTGATCATACAGATGTGGTACACTACTAAAAGGTCATTCTTATAGAGAGTACAAAATTTAGAAAAACTGTGACATCTTATAACTCATTAGAACTTACAAAAAGTTTCTCTAAAAAGCACTTGTATTTTGTAATGATAGTATTTATACTTCTATATTAGAGGATGCATAGATCAACACCCAGTGAAATTTTTCTTTCAGAAAATTCTTTGTTCTAAAACATGAAATGGGTTCTACTGTTCAGTGATTCCCAATCTTTACTACTCACTGAGTGTGCTTCCAACCTGATTAAAGGTTCGATATCTAGATTTCCAGTACAGTTGAAACATTTAGGACAGTGTCCTAATATGACAGATAATGCTTTTGTTTCAATTTTTTTACCATTCATTATTTTTTCCATACAAGTTAAAAAAAAAAAAAAAGGTACATTTTGGTGCAATAGCATATCTATTTTTCCATGTACCTTAGCGAAGACACAAGTCTTTGTATCAGAACATTAAAAAATGTTCATATTACAGTCTCCATAGTTGATTACATCTTTTAAGTAACTATTTTCATACCTATCTTTATACCTATCATAGCTCTGATTCTGTCATATTTTAAAATAACTTGTTTATTTTGAAAATAACGGTTTATCCAAGGTGCAGAAGTATGTGTCTGCTTTGAAATAAAGAAAATGTAACGTGTTGTGCTTTGCATCTTTTTTCAATAGTAGAAACTATACAGGTATAAGTAAAAGGTGGAATCTCTTTCCCCATCCAAACTCTCAGACCTTCTATCTGGGCCAGACTTTGATATTTGCCCCTTGGCTGGGAATCCGCGTATCCAACTTCACACTTAGCTGCAGTGAAGTAGCCCTGCAGGCAGGCCAACTTCAACGAACCACTAGTGGTATCATCATTAAAATCCTGCTGAAGGTCACCATGGAAACCGCCTGCTGAGGCTTCGCTGCTGCACTCGGCATCTCCTAATCAGCTACCATGTGAAATGCAAATTCAGACAGTCTGAAAATTAGTCAAGAAGAATAGAGGATGAGGATGCAGATATGTGAAATATTCATGCGCTTCATGGAAAAAGGAAGACAGCATGAATGACACAACAAAGAACGGCCCCTGACATTCTTGCTATCATTTTGCATTATTGTTCACACCCTACTGTATTTCCAGGCCTCCAGTTTTGAAGTTGGTTATATGAACTGCCATATTTATAGTCTACAATAAATAATAATTAAAAACGACCCAGGGAAAATGACTAATTGGAAAACCCACAAAGAGGTATAGCGCATAAATTACATCCTTTGTAACGTCACTGAATTATCTTTTTAAGTCCAATTTTTTTAGTAAAAAGGGAAAAATTGCCACTATAAATACTAAACAAAACAAAATACTGGGCAGTAATCTTTTATTAATAGTCCAATCACTGTCTTTGAATGTAGAAAAAAAATGAAGGTTCAGAATTACAGCCCCTACTCTATAACTGAAACTGCACAACGCTTTATGTTTATTAAAAGTATCTCAGTGCTCGTGTTTATTTGCGTTTTCGAAGTAATCTTTAATTCATGTAAGCTGAATTCAATTAGAATTGGTTACTAATATGTGTTCTTTGGTTTACAGCTTCTATCAGTTTGCCCTATTCTTTTCAAAGTGGGAAAGTATTTCAAAACTGGCATCTCAGAACATTAACAAGCAAACATTTCTATTTTTTTCATTCTGTTACTTTAACTAAGAAAAATATTTAATTTATCTTATTTAGTTTCTTTTCATTTTAGAGCTTAAAAAAATCAAGTATCCCCCCCTTAAATGCATTAATGACAGTAAAGAACTGTTACCTATCAGCTTACAACAAACACGGCTGCGATACGCAGGAGTATATTGTTCAAATTCAATTATATTACGTCTGCCTGTAATTCTCTGAAATTTACTATTAGTGTTGTCAAGAACCACTTCCTTGCAAATGAACTGCAGTTCAATTGTATCAAATGGCACATCGCAGTTTTATAATGCAGACAAATGGGAACTAAACAATTCATTTTTACTAGTGAGCTACATTATATCTATTTTAATGCAAGCCCCTAGAGAAACAAGGCTAGTGCACTAATTTACTGTGCAACATAAACTTGTAGAGTTGTGCTTTTAGAAAAGTATACTACAGTTGTAAGATTCAATCCCATTCTGGCACGTAGAACATATTGTGCATTCTGGGAAACATTTTGTCATACTTGCAAGGAAGCTCAATGAAACTAAAAAGCTAACAGTATGAGGTTTCCATCATTAACCCCCCAAAATGTAAAACCGTATCAGAGGCTGGTTTTGACAACAACATTTGAGCGAGTTCAACAAGCAAACTTTATTTATGGGCATAACCTGCAACTAACAAAAATCACACAAGTTCCTTTACCTCCCTGGAAGTGTGCCAGCTTACATAAACTGAGGATCTAGCCCATGAATAGGAAAATTACTTACTTCCTCTGAGTAGTGATCTGAAGGGAGAGGTGGGTAGTCACACTGTTCTATCTTCTTGCATAGGGAGTACAAGTTCATTTTATCACCATAAAAGGGACTCTGCAGTGCAGCCATCTGTTTAAAGAAAATGTACAGTTTTCTTTTGGTTTTAAGTAAACTTGTTTGGTCATAAAATCTGCAATACTAACAAATCAAAAGTGATTTTTAACAACTTTCAATTCCCTGCTCAGAAGTGTCACAACACAATGCCTAAAATAGAAGTTCCAAAACTATTACTGAAACCAGTGTGCGTACTTATTCTGTGGTATACAGTCATACCTGTCACAATCCTTAGATTGCAGTATTTCAATTGTACACCATAAGAGTTATTAATAGAGTATTAGAAAAATTGAGTAGTATCTGATACTGCTGTGAGCTTGGAGGGTCCTTCCACCACAAGGGAGACAAGAAAATATAAAAAACCAAAATCCACAATGTGATTATCCTCTGAAGACCTTTTTGAAAAAAATGTGATTTATTTGAAATCACTATCTGATCTAAAGCACTGTATGGTGAAAATGCCGGATAGCAGCAGTAGACTTTATAACCTTCCATAGCTAATACTAGACTTCGATAAAGTTGGCTTTTTAAAGAAAGAAAACTAAAAGTAATGTCAATACCAATCCCAAACCCAGAAACTTCGTAATTCAGTATGTTATTTCAAAATACTATTTAAAAAAAAATTACCCAAAATGTCACCAGAAGTGCAGAACTGGGACCCATGTCTGTATTTTACAACTGAAATACTTAATTAAGAATATCCGTTGGAAAGCATTTAAATAAATGATCATCTTAAGACCAGCACTAGTAAACCTACGCTTTATTTCCAGAAAACCTTACAACTTGACATTTAAGGTGGAAACAAATACTACGGTTAGCAGGATTACAAATTTAAAAATTCATTTAAAACCTCTCCATTCTGTTCAAAGCCTTCTAAGTCTTTGAACCGCAGCAGCACGAACGCTGCTTTGAGCGCAGCGCTGCCCCAAAGTCAGTCACCCTTTTCTACATGTGCTAATAAGTTTGATTTTGGAAGGACAATGTGTACATTCCCCAGACAGGCAGAGTGTGTGTGAAACACGCTAGTCCATGCTGTGCTACTCAGTGAGCTTCAGCAGGGACAGGACAAGCTGAAAATGGCTCTCATCTGTCTTGTGGTCTTCCAGATAGCAGCTTAACTCTTTCACGTCTAAGTTCCGATATCACTGGGGGGAAATGTGTGAAGAGAATTAAGGAAATTCTCTTACATTTACTTTATACCGATAAAACCGCTCTCAAATAATTCAGTACTTTTTTCATATTACCTTCAAGTAAGAATAAATCATTTTAGAGCTCCCAAAACAAATACCATGCTACATTTCCATCCCACACAACTCCCAAAAATTCTGTATTACCGAAACGACGTTAATTTTTGGATTTACATGACATTGTCTCTTACCTTAAAAAGCATGTTAAAAATGCAAGCTGAATACCAAAAAAAGAAAAGAAAAAAAATAAGAAAAATCAACTGCAGGGTCTGTACGCATGCAGAAATTCTAAATAAATTCACAGATACTCATTTTCGTACTCTAGGTGTTCATTAAAAAGTACTTTTGTTTGAATGCTGCGGAGTGTTAAAAAAATTCTGAATGTCCCCTAAGGAGTTAAAACAGGAATACTATATTTTCATGCATCTCCTGCTTTGACAGATGAAAAATGTCAACTGTCCTGTTTTTATTTTCAAGCTTTTGCACTATTCATCTGGTTCATTAGTGCATCTCGCTGCTGCCCCTGACAGCTGCTCGCCCTCTCCTCCCAGCAGCTGAATTTTTCAGGCTAATTTGATCCTCCACACTGAGACGATCGCTAGAATGATTGACTTGCTCCCTGACCTCCAGGGTCTGACTTTCCTGATTAGTATTCTGGGGGTGTCTGAGGGACGAAAGCCCACTGTCTGTCTTCGGGGCTGGTGGCAGCTCTCTCTCTCTCTTTTTTTTTTTCCCCTCTTTTTTTTTTTATGCTCTGGTTTCTCCTTAGTCACATCTACAGTCTGTGTTTGAGTATGTTCCTTTCTTCTATCTAGT